AACTGCCAACTTAACAACAAATATGCAGCCTTATACTTGGAGAAAGGGCAGGGCGGAATTAGTGATCATAGTGAATTGGATAAATCCCGATTGAGACTTGCGTATAAAAGGACCATCTTGTTATCCTAAATTCCTCGGGTGGAACTTCTAACAGTATGAAGTTTTTTTTAGTAATGAGAAAAATCTACAATCACTACCTAAAGAGTAAATAAACATCATCTTGTGATTTAATTGACAAAAGACTACAATGAAGTCAATCAGCCTAGTTGCTTATAGCTGATTGACTCAAACTAATAATGCCAATAAGAAATTTCCATTGAGACTTAAGAGTCAAAACTTGTAACTTTGTAGTTACTAAGTCAGCCGTTTGACAAAGTTATAGGATAATTGTAGAATTCGTCCATAAGTGTTGGTCGTGCTTATTTTTCGCCTCTAAGCTATCATTGACATTGCACTTTTCGTATTTATATTAAATTTTTGTGCTCAATTTTCATCTCTAAGCTATACTAAAATTGCAAATTTCATCCCTAGTTGACAAAAGATCACAATGAAGTCAACCAGCCTAGTTGCTCATAGCTGACCGACTCAAACCAATAATGTCAATAAGACACTCTCATTGAGATTTAAGAGTCAAACTTGTAACTTTGTGGTTACCAAGTCAGCCGTTTGACAAAGTTATAGGATAACTGTAGAATTCATCCATAAGTATTGATCGTGCTTATTTTTCGCCTCTAAGCTATCATTGACGTTGCACTTTTCATCTTTATATTAAATTTTTGTGCTCAATTTTCATCCCTAAGTTATACTGAAGTTGCAAATTTCATCCCTAGTTGACAAAAGATCACAATGAGGTCAACCAGCCTAGTTGCTCATAACAGACCGACTCAAACCAATAATGCCAATAAGACACTCCCATTGAGACTTAAGAGTCAAAGTTGTAACTTTGTGGTTACCAAATCAACCGTTTGACTAAGTTATAGGATAATTGTAAAATTCGTTCATAAGTGTTGGTCGTGTTCATTTTTCGCCTCTAAGCTATCATTGACATTGCACTTTTCGTCCTTATATTAAATTTTTGTGCTAACTTTTCATCCCTAAGTTATACTAAAGTTGTAAATTTCATCCCTAATGTTTTGTTAGTAAAGGGATGAAAAGTGAACACTAATATAACTTAGAAACAAAAGATGAGCATGATCAACATTCAACAATTAAGGACAAATTCTACAATTATCATATAATTTAGGAACAAAAAGTACAAATTTTCATAATATTTAATTCTTGTATCTAATACTAAATGAGTTAATACCCAAAATCGTCCTCGACTATAGTGGTTTTTCTCAATTTCATCCTAAACGACTTTGGTGACCTAATATCGTCCCAGACTTTTGTGTTTCGCTCAATTTAGTCCCAGACTTTTGTGTTTTTGCTCAATTTAGTCCCTCATTTGTTATTCTGTCCATTTGGTGTTAAATAAATAGATAATTCAGTAATTTTAATATTGGCATCTCTTTACTCATAGACATGTGAACTGCGAAATCCTTTTTTTTTTTTTTTTTTTTTTACGAATTAATCCTAAAACTGAGAATATAAAATTTGATTTGTAGGTCCGGGAGTAATTCTTGGTGTAATTCGTACAAGAAAGAGGAATTTCGCACTTCACAAGTTGAAAGTAAAGAGAGATCAATATTGACGTTACTGAATTGTCCCTTTATTTAACACCAATTTGACGGAATAACAAATGGAGGACTAAATTGAGCGAAACACAAAAGTCTGGGACGATATTAGGTCACCAAAGTCGTTTAGGACGAAATTGAGAAAAACCACTATAGTCGAGGACGATTTTGGGTATTAACTCAATACTAAATCCTTTTAATTTATCTGTCACACAATTTTTTTTTAAATACTCCGTACAATTTATTTTTTCATGTGGTATACTACCTAAAAAAAAAAAAAAAAAAAAAAAAAAAAAAAAAAAAAAACAGATTTTCCTCGTCATACATACAACAAAAATAAGCAGCCTTATCTCCTACTCCGTATAGTGTGCACGGCACGCCCCATTCACAGTGACGTCCAGCGGCATGTCTGACCTTGAATAAAAAGTCAACATCCATGCAATATTAAAATGATAAATGTATTTTCATAAAATAAAGTTCTCTTTATATGTTTAAATTTTATTGAAGAAATAAATTTTAAGAAAAATAAATATTGTGATTTATATGCTTTTTGAATTAATTATAACATGACACATTAAGAAGACGTTTAGTAATTAGAAAAGTTTAAATGTTTTTGAAAATTTAAAATATAAAAAAATTATTCTCACGTTTGGTAAAAAGAACAAAAAAAAAAAAGAGAGAAATTAACTCAAATATTAATATTAAAAGTAATTTATGACATTCAGTTGCTTTCTTTCTGAAAAATAGTCAAAATACGATGAAACCAAAGTCTTTGTTTCAAATTTTAATCAATTAAGGAATTGACATATTCGTGTGGGGCGGGGCAGGCCGGCAGGGTTGGGGCCTGGGCGGCTTTGTCTTATTTATTTATTTATAATGAAACTTGATCTATAATTGTCCTTTTATGTCCTAAACAATAATTTATTTGTAGTCCGTACCATTTTGAATATTACAAATATGTGTACACACTACTACACGGCTATCAGGCTATCAGCCAATGTGTAATTGCATACCGTGAAATTGGAGTGTGACATTCTAGAAAGAAAAAAAAAAAAAAACATTTGTTTGTTAAAATTTTTACCGCGGTTTATTAGTATTAGACTATTAGTTTGTGAAAAAGAATTGAGAAGGAAATTTAAATTACTTAAAATATTAATGCTAATGTTTAATAAGAATATGTAAGGCAATATAAGGGTGTGTTTGGTTGATGGATTTTGTCCATAGGATGGTATGAAAGTGATTGTTCTTGTTTTTTTTTTTTTTTGAAAGTTACTGGCTCTATTACATTGTAGTATCTGTTCATATACTTTCTCAACCTACTGAAACACAAAGAACCAATAACGCCTCCACTGAGACTTGAACTCATAATCTTCCAAATGGAAGTCCAACCCGAATACCATTAGACCACATAGTCCTGGTGATTGTTCTTGTTTAGTTGATAGGTTTTTAGAATATTATTATGAGTTTTGAATATCCTATCAATTGAAAAACTCATACCCAAATAAAATAAGGATTTCATTCCCTTATTCATTCTGAAGCACTACTATTAGTAATCATTCTCATTCCACCCCCATACCAAACATGTTAAATACTTTCACCAAAACTCATTACCATTACCAATTATTTGATACTCATTCCAATTTGGAATAAGGTTCAAATTGGCCACTGAACGTAACCTGAAAATGCAATTAGGCCACTGAACGAAAAAAAAGTGCAATTAGGCCACTGAACACTCCAAAAATGTGTAATTTCACCTAATAGCAGGTTACCCTCAATTTTAGCAGGTTATCTGCTTATGTGGCAGCTGAGTTGGCATTTTTAATAAATTTTAATTAATTTTTAATAAATTTTAATAATAAATTTTTATTAAAAATTTTTTTTAAAAAATAAAAACGACTTTATTTTATTTTGTATTTAATTTTTTCCAATTTTTTATAAAATTTATTATTAAAATTAATTATTAAAAATTATTTAAAAATTATTAAAAATGCCAATTAAGCTGCCACGTAAGCAGGTAACCTGCTAAAATTGATGGTAACCTGCTATCCGGTGAAATTGCATACGTTTGGAGAGTTCAGTGGCCTAATTGCACGTTTTTGAAGTATTCAATGGCCTAATTGCACTTTTTTTTTTTGAGTGGCCTAATTGCATTTTCAAGTTACATTCAGTGGCCAATTTGAACCTTATTCCTTCCAATTTCGATTCCTATGTGCGAACCAAAGACACCCTAAGAATCCATATAATTCATTTTCATTTGTAATCAATTCATGTCTCCAATCAATCAAACAAAGTTTATTTTTCCTTAAATTTGAGGAAAAAGTCATTTAAAAAAATGTTTCATTGCGAACCAAACCAAAAAGCTACGGAGTATATTAATAGCTACCAAGAAAAGCTCTCTTACGTGCATCTACCACAAGAAATAATATAGTGGACATTTTTATTTAATTTAGTCCAAAAAAATTGTACTTTTTCCTTTTTAGATTTCTATGCAAAAATCTAATACGGAGTATGTTCTAATGAGGTCATGGGATCTAACCCTCACTATCGTAATTTGAACTTATGACCACCCATTCGAAATGATAACCGAGATGACATCATATTACATGAGATATGAATATTTTTGTAGTACTTAAGTTGAATATATATAACTTATTTATTTAAATGTAGTTTACTTTTTAATATTTTTATAAATTAAAATTGGGGTAGGGGATTCATTGTCCCTGGATAATCCCCGTGGAGATGGAGATTGTGAAATTGTTTCCTTCTCAGGCAAAGCTGGGGACGGAGACGGGAAATGGGGTAGAAAGTCAGGGGCTGAGACGGAGGGTATGCCCCCCTCTCCTGCCCCGTTGACATCTTTAGGGACAATAAATTTTTAGGGATAAGAGTGAATCTCTGTCCCTAGTCAACCTTAGTCAAATTAATATAATTCTCATTTGTTATTTTACCCTCCTACTTTGGCCACTATATGCCAAAAGTTAAAACGATCAACCTTGGGGTGCTATCAATTTGACATAGGCAAATAAGGATCACCACAAAATATGAGAATAAGATAACAATAATCAGTTAATAATTATGATATATGCTTTACAAATTGAATTTCTACAATATTAATCATTACCGATGCCTTTCACCAAAGACCACAAAATATAACAATAAATCAGCAGATTATCATCATATATGCTTTGCAAATTAAATTTTGTGTTGATCATTACCAATGTCTTTCTGCATTAAATAAACCATAAATGTTATTTGAGTTGTATTGAGTACTATCAATTTGACAACGACAAATAAGAGCACTAACAAGTCAACAACGACCACAAAATATAACAACAATCAAAAAAATAGATAATCATGATGTATTTACAAGTTGAATTTGTACAGATATCATTACCGATGCATTTTTGCATCAGATACAACCATGAATGCATTTCGGACTGTATCGAGTACTATCAACACATGTTCTCATAGTACACAGTACAATCATGCATGGTTGTATTTGGTACAAAAGGTATTGATACCTATCAACACTAGAAATTTCTTGAAAACATAAACCATGCAAAATTTATAGACACAAATTGATGCTAATTATTTAAAAGCTAGATAAATAAGAAGCCTTTGGGAGTTTATAATGTAAAGGCAAATAAAAGAAGAGGATAGCTGGAACCAGCTACCAACTTCAAGAATAGAAGTCTCCTTTTACAAGTTCATGAAGCATGCAAGATTGTGAAGAAAAAGCAGAGCAGATTCTCAGGGTGACTCTGAGAAAGTTGCGGGATTCTCAGGCACGACTCTAATCTCGCTCTGATTACGTCGAGATGGTGACTCGGGATTGTACTCGAAGTAATCAGTGCCGGAGATCTGAGAGTTGGTTCCAGTAGCAGCATTCGAGAATTTTGTCTTCTCTCGACGATAGTCTTTTATGGCCTTAAACCTCAAATCGTCGGTGTATGTACTAGCTTCTGGGATTTCAGCTGGAATACTGATACTTCCTTCAAGCATACCCAGAGCTTGTGACATTATAGGCCTATGTGTTGGAGCTGCACTGGTGCACAAGAGTGCTACTTTCACCACCCCTTCGACCTCTTCTTTGTTGAAACGAGAATTCAATTTCCGGTCGGTAAACTGCTCCAGATTCCCACTTAGCAGCGAGAAACAGGCCTGAAATATACAACTTTATAAGCATGGTTGAAAATTCGAGGGATTGAGAAAGTGTGCAGGGCATGTGCAGGGTATGTGTAGGGTATGTGCGGGGTATGTGTAGGGTATGTGCAGGGTATGTGCGGGGGGGTGTACTATTCTACTTGGAAAAACAGCAAAAATATGCAGACTGGGCTTCATTAATAGAAGAATCATTAAAGAAAATAGGAGTGAAGAGAATAGTACCCAATCTAAAAGACAAACGCAGCTTTCGACTGGGATGTAGTTAGTGTTGCTCTGTCCACTAACGATTTCCAGAAGTACAATCCCGAAGCTGTAGACATCGGCCTTGTAGGTGAGGTGACCCCAAAGTGCATATTCCGGAGCCATGTACCCTCTGGAGTCAACAAGAAATGGTAAGTCGAGTTAGAATTCTGATCATCACGAGAGACTCAAAGTAACAATGACGTTTGTATTTATTTCATGATGTAAGTAAAGCTCACATTGTTCCAGCGATTCGAGTGCTGATATGGGTCTTATCGTCTTCGTTGAGCCTAGCAAGTCCAAAGTCCGAGATTTTGGGATTCATGTCTCTATCAAGCAGCACGTTTGTAGTTTTAACATCTCTATGAACAATTTTGAGGCTCGACTCCTCGTGAAGAAAGGTCAGACCTCTAGCAATACCAATGCAAATCTTTAACCTTGTCGGCCAGTCCAAGACCAACTGATTGTCCTCTGAATTTAAAAAAAAAAAAAAAAAAAAAAACGCCATTGAAATGTTAATGTATGTAAATTTCTAGGACATTGTAGTTACTGAGGAAATTTCCGACTTTAGTGAGAACTTACTATATAAAGCATTAGCGAGGCTGTTGTTCTCCATGTATTCATATACAAGAAGTAGTTGATCTGCTTCAACACAGCCCCCGAGAAGCTTAACAACATTTGGATGTTGCAAACAAGAAAACATTCCAATCTCGTTTAAGAATTCTTTGTTTCCTTGCCTCGATTTGGAGGAGAGTTGCTTCACTGCTATTAAAGTGCCATCAGGAAGCCGACCCTACACCAGATCTTCATCAGAGGTCTGACAAAAGATTTAAGGAAGATGCAACCAATAGACTCGGAATGAGATCATACCTTGTATACTGGACCGAAACCCCCTTCTCCAACCTTGTTTGCGATATCAAAGTTTCTAGTCGCAACTCTTATTTGTCTTAAAGTATAAGTAACCATTTGCAGTTCGCCCTCTGCTGGTTCTGTCAAGAATACAGATATCATACTTTCCGTTATAACATCCCCATTCTCTTCCACAAACCCAAACCAAACACTGTGACTATTCATTTAAAAGTTCAATCGGAGAATGCACACACATTGCACATGGAAATGTATAGTGAATAGTGATGTCAGCATACATCAATTCAGGTAAGACTTCATTTATGAGCTTCGAGCCTTCGAGTAACTGTGATGTTTATTAAGAATTACCTTCATGAATCTCTCTACATTGTAGACAGCCATTCCACCACAGCAAGGAAAACATGAGAATGGTACTGCATGCGGCCACCACTCCAACAATAATATAAATATTTGCATGATTATTGGCCCCGTTTGAACATTTAATATCTGCCACCAAATAAATAAATAAATACTCTGTAATAAAAACTTTCTACTAAAAGTAGTAGAAGAAGAATACCATTGCAGAACTGGGCAAAAATCAAATATAGCATATGCAGTTTCAAACATTCAACAAAACACATTTTTGTTGAATGACTATCTATGTTCCTATGCAAATGCCACTTTGGTAGACTAACTGTGATCTTCAAAATTGAAAAGAAAAGAAAAGAAAGCCACTCCAAGTCTCCAACCACCCAAGATAGAATAAAAGACGGGAATTTGGGAATAGAAACTTACAAGGACGAACTGAAATAGCGGATACAAGGGGACCATAATGCCCTGGAAGAGGGATACGCGTAGTCCCTTTACCAGCCCAGTAAACGCGAATTTCCAAGGTGTTATCTGTCACACTGGCATTAAAATACAATACAACAGGCCTTTGAGCTCCACGAGCCTCTTCTTCAATATTAAAGTCTTTCCGAACAAGTTTTTCCTGAAATAGAGATACTGATAAGCATTCTAAAATCTAAACCACTTACTAGAAGAAACACAAGTAGTTGATATAATTAAACAACCTGAATATATATGTCAAAGATACGTCTTCCGAGACTGTAGTATGTACTGTCATTTCTGAACTCTATCTCCGCAAAGTGGAGACTCACATTATAAGTCCCATTTTCCAAGCAATACTGGAAATAAGTAAGCGAAAGAGGAGAAATACGAGCACTTCTGTACAATTCAGAGAGGTTTGCTGATGGTTGTGACACAATAAAACGTGCATTCTGAGTATTAGCATCATCCATGAAGTCTCCTGTGCTACTAAATCCCCAATAATTATTACTAGTGAAATATTTTGAAGCCGAACTGCCTTCAACACTTGCATCTCCTTCATACATAACTTCACGGTTTCTTTCGTTGGCGGTAACGTCATTGCCACCACAATTTACATTTAGAGAACACCTATCTGTAGGGGAAGATAAAGTGTTTCCATAGTTACACTGATGAGTACAGTTTTTGTCCCAAAACTTTAAATTAAGTTTATTTGGCCCTAAATGTTTAAATAGTTTATATTTGATCTTGATTATATGATATTGGTTTGAATCAGATACCAATGTCACCTCACACCAATTTATTGACATATAAGTAAGGAGCATCTCTAATTATTATGCAAATCCAATAAAGTTGATGTTTAATAAGAGGTGGCAGAGAGAAATAAAATAGAAGAAAAGGAAGTTGAAAAGTATGAAAAAGGAAAACAATATATCTATAAAAAACCAAAAATTTTCCTAATCTATTTGTCAATAAATTGGTTTTAAATTACATTAATACTTACTTAACTGAAATCAATGTCATACATTTTGGATCAAAATGAATTGACTAAAACATTTAGCCAAATTGAAACTTAGCTTGAATATCAGAGACCACAAATGAAATTTACTTTTACAGACATAACTTGGATGTATTTCACACAATATTGAAAAAATCGCTAGGCGCCTGGGGACCGCCTAGGGTGCCTAGAGCGCCTAGGAGGCCGACCGCCTAGCACCTAGGCGCGATTTTTACAACACTGATTTCACAAGAGCTTAAAAAATATTAGACACAAATAGCTACTTGTCAAAGTCATATTTGGCAACTGAAATATGTTGGTTTCCGTAGTACGTGATATTAGGAAAATAATAAAAAAGAAAATTGGAAAGTAGACTTTTCCTTTATTTTTCTTTTATTTCAGAATTCTGCCTTTAAAAGAAATTATTCTGCTATCCTTTTTCTGACAAGCAATGCAGTTTGCAATGAGAAAAAAATCAGAAAACAAAGAATACACTTACATCTAGGACAAGTAATAACTTCCTTCGCACATGGAAGAACTCTCCTTCTGTTGAAGAAAAATCAAGAAGCAATTAACATCAGTTTTGAATTTTAGATTAAAAAAAAAAAAACCTACTACCTCCGTCCCAAAATGTATGCCTTACATGGATAACTAGGTTTGACTCCAGCTATTTGTAATTTAATTTTTTGTAATATTTAATTTAGTTTTAGTGAATAAAATTTTTATATTTAAAAGCCATATTAAAAATTCTATTTAAAAAAAAATTGAAAATTATAAGAAATTGTTAAAAGAAATAATTGAAAAAAAAAAAAAAGAAGAGGTGATTTGATTAATGAATAATATATAAGGCATATCAAATGGAACAAACGGAGTATTGTTTTAAGCGTATTGAATAAGTTCTTTGCTAAAAGATGTGAAAAATACAATTCCAATGAAGGAAAATGGGAATGAGAATCTTACAGTGCACTTACTGTTGAAAAGCTCTTGTACATGTTTATATTTAAATTCCTAGGGGAAAAGAATATTTATCAGTAGAAACTTCGTAAGTTAAGGGCATAACAGTGGAATAAAGAGTTTCCTTACAGATTAGGTTGACAAGCAGGTTCATCAAGACCTTGCCATGTAAAGTTATTATAGGAAAGATCACTGCACATGCAATCAAATTATGAATTTTGTTAGCTACCTTTATACTAAAGATAAGGCAGAAATATGAATTTTGCCAAAGGCCTTGTGGTCGAGCGGCATAGTTGTGGGCTTGTGGCCCCTCAAATGAGAGGTCTCAAGTTCGAACCCCAGTGTGGGGACATTGACTCTTTGTGCTTTAGTACTTTGAGAAAGTATATATGAACAGATACTACATTATAATAGAGTCAATAGTATTTTAAAAAAAAAAAAAAAAAAGATAAAGGCAGAAATTCACCCAGCCCATTCATGTGTATAGGTAGTAAAATGATCTCATAATTTTCCTAAACTACAATCTATAAAATTACATTTAAATAACCATAAATAATTCCCCCGTTGGCGGTCTGCTATCAGGACAGTACCATGAAAAATTATTGGAGAGATAATAACATACACATTCAGTCCAGTTACTAAGATTGAACTAGGAATATGTCCCGTGAGGACGTTGCCGGTTAAAAACCTGTGTCCAAGAAACACAAATCAGGACATTAATACAGAACTTATTTGCATAGTACCAAAGAAAGCTTAAGGAGGGAGGACAAAGAAATACTTAATATGATAAATAACATTTCTGGCAATATGCATACTCAAGTAATGTATTGAAATACTGTCTATTGAAGCCAAAATTTTAGAATTTCTCCTTACAAAAAATGTAGAGTACTTCTGGGACTAATATGATCTGGAAATCCGCCCTCTAGCTTGTTGAAACTGACATCCCTGATCATAAAATTTAAAAACATAATATGATTAGAAAAAAGAAGAAAGTATCCTTTCCTGGGAAAGTTGGAAGAGGTATTAGTGCATTTCTGTGTTAGGGCATCTTACAATAGTCATGTCTATAGTTCCTTAGTTAACAAGGAAAAACATAAGTTGGAATGGAGGCATAAGAGAAGGAATGCATTCAGCTAATGAACAACGCATAAGAGAAAACAAAGTGATAAAGGCAGTCTATCCTGCTAATAAGTAATAACAATGAATGATAGAAAACCAAAAATTGCTGAAATGTCAAAAATATATTACTTGTCCCTTTATACAAAAACAGCTCAAGTTAAGATCAATTTACTCAAGACAATAAAACTGCACTTAAAGAATTGAACAAACAGTTGGGCCACAATTCTTGACTTGGTTACAGCGAAGCAATGATTCTACAGATTACCATTACCATTAGCAAAGTGTTTTTTTCATTTAAAAAAAAAAAAAAAAACCCACAAAAATAGTGTCATTTACTTCAATCCACGATTTTTTTAATATTTTTCATGGAAGTGCAATAATATGTACTTGCAATGCACAAAACAAGAAAATAATGGTAGAATGTCTTTGGGTTCTAGATTGAAGAAACAACTTCTGCAACATGTCAACGTAAGGACAAAAGCAGATGAACTTCTTGAAAAGAATCCGAAAATGGCCAATTAAAGTTTATTTGGAGTGAAGAAATCACTGAGTATGAATACAAAATGACAAAGGTGTATATTCACTAAACTCAAACTTTTAGATGAGATGGAACACATATTTCAATATAGTATCAGAGCAAGCAAAAGGTTGTGGGTTCAAATCCTTCTTGCTAACCACTATTTTCTATATGTTTGGCCCATAAAAAATATTATGTAGCCTACACAGAAGAGGGCAAGAATAAATAACAGAGAGTATAAGGATATAAAACAACCTAAAAGCAACCCAAAAAATTGAACATAAAAAAACTTCCTTAAAAGTGGTAAAAAATGAAATATTATGCAACAAAGGGCTAATGAGAACTCTTGCATATCAAAGAAGTTAACATTTATGTTGTCAAATGGTGCGTGATTACTTACAAGGTTTCAAGGATTTTCAGGTTCCAGATATATGGGGGAATTATTCCAGAGATATTGCAGTTTCTCAATATCCTGAAAAAGTAATAATTCCTCAAATATAGGATCTTGAACATGAAAGCCTAAACCAATTTCCATAGGGTTATAGTTGTCCTAACTCACAATGTTACTAGGCCTCCATTACTACTAAGTGGAGGAAATCCCTGACTAGGTCCATTTATGTCACTGATCCTCCTGTATAAAAATATGAAAACTGTTAACTACTACTGGAAAACAAAGAGTAAATATGAAAGGTATTTCAATGTTAAAACGGTTGAGTACTCACAAATTAATTAGGTTATTAAGAAGAGATATATTTGCTGGAATGGGGCCTTCTAATCCAGATGCTTGCATCTCCCTTCATTTTCATTCAAAATAAATTACATACCAACTATACGCACATTTGGAGTAAGTTGGGTAAATGGAGATCTTAGTCATCTTACAGTCTTGTAAGTTGTTTCCAGTTCCCTATAAAATCTGGAATTGGACCGGTGAAATTGTTGTCATTTATCCTGCTGTAAAAAGGAATATAATAATGTCAATCATACCACCTGAAACACAAAAAATAAATTAACTGAAGAATATGTGAACTGTGCTTACAAATCTGTTAAATTTACAAGTGCAGAAAATGATGCAGGCAACCTTCCCACCAAACTATTTGAGGACAACATCCTGGAATTGAAATGTTGGAATCATTCAGGAACTTTTATCCTTCAAAATACAAGGCAAAGAATGAATAAAGAAGAAGCGCCTTACAAGGTTTTCAAGTTTACGAGGTTTCCAAGTTCAGAAGGAATACCACCCGAAAACTGATTCCCCTCAAGATTTCTGGTTCAAATTTTTGTTTAAATTTCAAGAAATGCAGAATAACATAAACCATTAATCAAGCAATAGTAAGTAACAAGGAAAGGAGTAAAATGCTGCCAATTTTACATTCCAAGAGGGAAAAGTAAATCAAAATAAATGCAACAATTGATAATACATACAGGTATGTGAGGCTGGTAATATTTCCTAATACTTTAGGTATTTCCCCTGACAACCTGTTCACAAGCACAGAGCTTGATAAAAGAAACTGGCTGTTAGTGAATTTTAAATTTTATTAAAGACTTCCACAGCAAATCATTCAGCCATAAAAGATACAAAGCTAAGAGCTTACATGTTATTCAATTTTGTTGAGGCCCATTCAGTTGGTATTGTACCGCTGAGATAATTGTAAGCAAAGTCGCTAGAACAATAGAGATGACTTTCAGATGTTTGTTGATATTTAGCATATCAAAAATGCAAATAAAAAAATTTAAAAAAAAATAAAAATAAAAATGCAGCAGTGGCATAAAACCCTTACATATGTTGGAGATAAGGGAGCCCCACCAGTTTGTGTGGAAGAACACCAGGAAGGCTTAAACCTTTTAGCACACTGCAGTAGCGAAAATTACATTCAGTTCTAACTCTGCAAGAAAATGCTATAGAATATTGAACTTGTTATTGAAGTATTCTTTCCCGGTGGATAGAGAAAACCGAATTTGCAATCAGAAGTTCCGGGAATAACTAACAATATTGAATTGGTTTTTTATTCTTTTCTGGAGATGCATCAAAAAAATTGAGGCTTGAATCTCTTATACTTCAAAGGCTTAATCTTATGTAGTTATGTAATTCTTCCCATATTAAAACTATATCGCACATGCAAGCTCAATGATCATAAACATGAAACTCAGTTTACACAAAGAATTACAGAGTAGAGTCAAAATCAGAACTAAAACAACGTCAAGTGCACTTGCTTATAAGATCAAGAAGGCTTACATTCCAACAATGTGACGACACACAGTGCTATTCCCCACATTGCAGTCACACTTAACATCGCTCTCAGACCAACTTGGCCGCGGTTGTGCTGTCCCAACTCCTTCGATTTTGCATGAACGAGCATTGAACTTCCAAGATGTTACACCCATGGTAGTGACAACCTGCTGGAGAACATCCACTGAGACACAGCAATGGAAGTAGATGTTAACATACATATATGATATATCACTGCTCAAAGATTAAAAATGGGGAGAAAATAAAATTATAATCCACTATTCCAACAAACATTTCTCCTTTCCCAAAATTATGAACACCAACATTACTAACACATAGCATCAAAATGAAAACACAGCGAAACTCCACAAATAAAAGGCAAAAAATTTCTCCAGGAAGCCTAGAATTAATGATTCCTGATCATGCTATCTGCATACACTACTATAACATAGCTCCCATTCAAATGATTACAGAAATCGTTCGAAGTTAAACAAAGCTAAAACTTTTTTTTTTCTCAGAACACACATACACTAAAACGAAATGAAATTCATTGGTTTGATTACTCAAGGAAATGAAATTCAAGAGAAAGGACTCTCCGTAGCTCACCTTCCCGTCGAGCAACTCGAGATTCTGCGAATCTCATCAACACCAGGAAGCAACACAGCGCGAGAATCCGAGAACGAACAGCATTTCTTCCGGGGATCATTTTTTCCAGCTTCGAATACGCGGGAGGAGCTTTGAAGAAAAACTATATGATTATCTAACGGATTCAAAATCTAAAGTCCGGAATGAAGTTCCCAAGTAAAGCTTTCTGGGCATATGTTTCAATCAACCAAAAGCGCTAAACGCGAATGCCAATTCTATGCACTCTCTCTACTCTCTACAACAAAGGGAGAAAACTGTGTAAGAAGATGGGCTGCTAATAAGCATCATAATAAAGCAATATAAGCCAAGATTAACTTCATTAATTTCCTCCGTTTCTTTACTTTACTACTCAAGTGTCCAACACTTGTACCCTCTTCGGGATTAACTAAAAAGTAATATTCGCTTCACACTTATAGATTATATATATCCCAACGCTCTCCATTTTAAGATTAACAATATCTTTCCTCAGTGTCAAGTATAACATTAAACTAGTTCCGTTACTTACAATGTCAACTATAGCAATAAACTCGTAATTACGCTACACATTCTTTTATACGGGACGGTTTTAGGACAGCTAACCAGCATCCTAAGTACACAATATAGAATCAAATGTAATTTCAGTGCGGTATAGCAATAAACTCGTAATTACGCTACACATTCTTTTATACGGGACGGTTTTAGGACAGCTAACCAGCATCATAAGTACACAATATAGAATAAAATATAATTTCAGTGCGGTATAGCAATAAACTCGTAATTATGCTACACATTCTTTTATACGGGACGGTTTTAGAACAGCTAACCAGCATCATCAGTACACAATATAGAATAAAATGTAATTTTAGTGCGGTTTGATTTATCTCTCCCGCCTAAGTTATTACACAAGAGTCAGAGTTACTCAATGTATACGTCAAATAGTGGTTAAAGGTTAAAATAAAATATGAGGGAGTTTCTTGGTTAGGACGAGTTATGACTTATGAATGTATCAATTCTTCTTTGAATCTTGAGGTGACTTTCATGGCTTACCGTTGGCTGCATGCTGCCATGGCCTACGAACCGTGGCTGTGCCAAACAGCTTGAATTTGACGACTTTAATAATGATAAGTATATATATATATATATATATATATATATATATACCATGGAGATATAACCCAACTAACATAGCTAAAAATACAAACTTTAACTATAAGGTCACGAGTTTAAATCTTAACCTTTTTAATTGTCAATTAAGATCACAAAGTTAAATTTACTCCGTGCATACCTTTAAATAATGACTTAAGATTATTCTAGTCACCTAAAAAAAAGTAAGTACATATATATATATATATATATATATATATATATATATATATATATATATATATATATATATATATATATATATATATGAGCCAGTAAAAGTACATATATGATATATATATCAGCCAGTCACGTGGCCTACAATATATTGTGTGGCAATCATTTTCTTCTTCCCAGGGGTGGCCTATATAAATGGATATTGTCCATTAATAGGAACATGGGTGGCATCCTCGTATCATTTTCACATGATAATTTTGTGACTATGCTAGTTTACTGTCTTTTATATATTTTTTGTATTCTTTTAGTATTTTTTTTTTTTTGTTTGAACACTTATTCTTTAGTCAGAATATAAAGCACATAAAGATTAAATTGAGACTTTTGATTAAATTAGAAAAGACTTGCCCTTGTTCTTTCAATTATATTCATATAGTTAAATTAGTTATATATTTTCGATCACAAATGTAAACGAGGATTTTAATAAATTTTAAAATAGAGAGGGCATATTGTGATTGTGTAAAAGTTAAACTAAATACTACTCCGAGTATAATTTTAGAAAGTAAATATTTTATCCTACTAAAACAATTAAAAGACACCGTAAAATTATACAATGCCTAAAAGACATTAGATGCATTTACTAATCGGATGAATGAAAAAAACTATAGAACCGAAACAAGAGAATGGGTTTACTTGTGCATTTTTCAACTTAAAAAAAGAGTGGGAAATCGAAAGTTAGATAAATATAAGATTAAAGAAATGAAAAGTGAAGTGGAGTAAACCCAACTACCATGTCTACCACTATAAACATAATGTCTTGGTAGGGAATATATTAGCACTACCACACATATCTTCTTCTCCCAAATACTGTCTACTTAACTAGTGAGTTAAACGCCTACGAGCAACTACCAGACATATATGTACTACACAAGTTGTATCCGACCATCTCCCACTGCTACTGATCTTACCTCCCGACCGGAGTTCTCGATCTCAATGCACACCTAGTTAATTCCTTTGTGTACTCATGTCGTACCAACCACTCTCGACTTGACCTGACTGAGAAGCCTATTAACATAACCGGTCACCAAGCCTTTTTCCCATAACTGCCTCAAAGGTACTCCCCGAACGGGACAACTAGTCATATCACGTCCCGTCCCGTCAAATCCCATCACCTTTTCTGCCCTCATCAAATACTTGGCATGATGATTATGACCACCCAACCTACATCCAACACGTGTAAGACATACCGGTAGCCCGATATGTTCATCCTACCTAGCCTATAAAAGGCGCATTAATTACTAGTGAATGGGGCTTTAGGACCTGAAATTACAACAGACACTTTCGACCATACCCACTTATTTACCGACCAAGCTAGTGTTCAATAAAGCGGAGAAACAAACTTGGTTTAGAGCTTACAAGACTAAAGGATTGCGTCTTCCACCGTATACCTCGAAAAAAAAAAAAAAAAGTAACACGTCTATTATTATAAATAGAATGAAGTTATTTAGTTAGAGATGGTGATTGAGAATTCTCAATGTTTTTAGTAAGGAAAACGTTGTGTAAGGTGATGGATTTAGTATTGCATTTGTGTTGATAGTTACGGGGGCAATTATTGGAGTGAATGAATAAGAGAAGTCATGCCAGCAACAGGAGATTGCCCACTTTGCTCTTTAATAACAAGCCAATATAAATATATAATGGACATGCATGTTTTCCATGGTCAAATTAAACAAATTCATTCGCCCATAAATTGAGATTTAACGTTGTTGTCAAAGCGATAAAGGTTGACATGAGACCATCTTAAATATTATTGACTATTAGCCGCCCCAGGAGACAGAAACGAAGCAATTTAGATGACGTGATGCAAATCAATAATATAGGTTCAAAACTCTAACTAATTAAACATTATTGCACCAACATTGTTCTGCAAAAAACAACACAACAACAAATCCTAGTCATGCATGTACAACGCTATCACTTTATCAATCTATCTTTCTGGAACTACTCAGACGATAATATCAAAAGTTTCAACAGAGTTTAGAAATGAAAATGATATGCAACTTCACAAAGTTCAAGTTCAGCAAATATCTACTCAACTAAACAGGCTCAACAAAGGAGATTCTAAGTTTTAAGTGCCACAATTAAGGCAATGGTGACCTTTTGCAGGAGCTCCGCACTTGTAACAGAAGGAGCACTTACACCTACAATTGGTAACATCTCAGCAAGAGCAGAGAACAGTAATTCAAAACAAGCAAGAAGTGATAGTAGAAGATAACAAGGAGCTAAAGAGATAAGCAGCACACTACAGGTTCCATTCCATTCTATCATTTCCCAATCCAATTGTTGCTACACACATTAGTTTATCATATTACCATAGTCCTAACTCTAAATATTAAAAAAAATGTAATCTTTATAATGTTGGAAGCAGGTATTTTGCCTCATAAAACTGTCTAGATCAATCTAGACTGAAAAGAGACAAGCTTTGACTGTACACTAAACCAGTGGCACACAATGGTTCAGCTGTCATTTTATGTAACTTGATGAGGTTGAAAAGCCAACAAAGTCATTAAAACTCTAAGATTAAGGATTTAAAGATGCATTTAATCCAAAATTCACTGCATAAGGAAACTAAATAAATATAGAAGTAGTCCTGTTCTACTGATACTCAGGACCCTTAAGTATTTCCCATTTTTTAAATAACAAATCCCAAATTCCCACCTTTACTAAAAAGTATGGAATTGGCTCTATTGTAGGCACTCGTACAAGCACTTCGGGAGTACAAATGCCCACAATAGGGTCAATAAAATAACCAATCTCAAGTTCTCACTGTCCCTATTATGGAGTCTCGTGAAGAAAGTAAGTTGTGGGATTGCGTGATTCCTACTGGGAGGTATGAAATAGGCCCTATTGTGGGCACCTGTACAAGCACCTCGGGAGTACAAATGCCCACAATAAAATCAATTTCATACCTTTTCAGTAGAAATCAACCTTAACCCTATCGCTGTCAGCTAAGTAGAGCTATTATCATTTTTTTTATTTTTTTGATGAATTGGTCAAAAAGTGAAGTATTTTCCACTTTTAAGCAAAGTGCAATGATGGCCTAAACATATTATAATCAATCAAATGGATAAAAATGATGAAAAGACAAACAGTTTGAGAAATTATCTAACCTGCACATCATGAATGGGCAACCAGAAACCCTCTCAACATAGACCCTGCAATTAGGGCACCTCATCCATTGCTTTTCATTTGCAATATTCACCAGCAGTATATCATCCTTCTCCCTATCGTTCTCATGCAGCTTCTGAAACTCAGAGCAAACAATGCCAGCATGCCATGGAACCTTACACTTAGCGCAGAACAATCTGCAGCATTCGGGGCACTCAGATTCCACAACTTCAATCTTTTCATCGATCAGAAGCGCAGAGCAATCCTTGAAGGGGCAGTAGAATTTCTCAGAAGCCAACACCAATGCCTCGCATAACGCGTCCCCCCAACGATCAAACACTTGCGGCGGCAAAATCGAGCGGCAGTTATGAGGCTCCAGCACCCCCGCGCAGCCAGAAACAGGGCAATTGATTTGGGAGACGTTCTGTTGGAGCTTCGAAGCTACGAATTTTGAAATGCAATCGGTGCAGTAGGAGTGTTTGCAGGCTTTGATTGTGAAAATGTCGCTCATTTGCTTCGCGTCGCAGCATATTTCGCAGATGAAGGAGGAAGCAGGGGTCTCCATGGCGTCTTCGACGTCTATATAGACGGGTTTCGAGTTGGAACACTCGGCTTTTACCCTCGCCGGCGCCGACATTGCCTCCAGAATCTGAATTTCGTCGTCCGGATTGTCTAGGGTGAGGTCGATTACGACTCTCGGGTCGCCTAGGGTTCCATGGCCCTGGGAGAGGTCGATCACGACCCTGTTCACACCATAACGACTGGATTCCGCAACCAAGGGCCCCATGATGACGCCTTTGCTCTTGTAATCTTCCACTGA